ATAATAATAATAATAATAATAATAATAATAATAATAATAATAATAATAATAATTTGTTGTGTTTTAACAAAACACTCCATAAAAACACTTAAAAAAATTATTAAACCATATTCAGTGATGTCTGAAAATTTATGGATGAACGTTCTCATAGATATATATTTTTTTCCTGTAGTCCAAATTTAGATGGTTGATTTCAAACAAATCAAAGACCTAACGTTCCTTGAAGGAATGCATACCACCGGCTACCTTTCATGACATCATTTTAAATTGAGATACTTTTAAATTATGTTAAAAGACAGAGTTATTGTCATTTTGGTCATAGCTTATAAACGTTAAAGCTTAAAGGTTCTCGTGCGACCTGGTAGCCATTTTTGTGTTGCTGTTGTTAATTAGTTTTGGTGCCATTTGAGTTTAATTGCCTCTAAAAATAATCAGTTGTAGATGTTCACCCATTGATTACTTTGAGCATTTTGTTAAAATCTATTTCTTAGTTCATGAGATATTTTGCACATGCACACACATATATAGCATTAGTGTCTTTGGGGGAGAACAACAGTACAAAACAGAAGTACCAGATAAACTATTTATAATAGTGCTTTAACACCACCTTATAGGTGCATATAAGGATATTTTACATGTTGTAAACTGCAAATCTGTATATTGCAGATTTAAACAAATGTGTTTGCCTTTACCATAGAATGAAGATGGCAACAATGAGGACTCTGGTGATGAGTTTGAGGAGATGAATTTGTCGCTCCTCTCAGCTCGCAACTTCCCACGCAAAGCCAGCCAGACCAGCATCTTCCTGCAGGAGTGGGACATCCCCTTTGAGCAGCTGGAGATCGGAGAGATGATCGGCAAAGGGCGCTTTGGCAAAGTGTTCCACGGACGATGGCACGGAGAGGTCGCCATCCGTCTGATCGACATCGAGCGTGACAACGAGGATCAGCTGAAGGCCTTCAAACGGGAGGTCATGGCCTACCGCAACACTCGCCACGAGAATGTGGTTTTGTTTATGGGGGTGTGCATGAGTCCGCCACATCTGGCCATCATCACCAGGTAGGAAGAAAGATGTTAAGACTGTGCAAGACCAAAAAACAGCTAAATTGAAGGCCTATCTTTAAAAGGATGGCATACCACCTGCCACCTTTCATTCCAGGGTTTAAGTTAAACATCAAATGTTGAGAAAGATGGAGCGTCAGTGACTGTGTTCAAACAGTGAAATAATTTTTTTTTGATCTCTCATAATCTGTTATTGCTTAGAATATGTGTTGGGAATGGCTGTTGTATACTACCACAACAGAATTTAGCTCTGTATCATTTCTGTAAAGGCTAAGGTGAATTAGCTATTATAGTCATTTTGAATTGGTAAAAAGGCAATTAAAACAAATTTGATGATGAAATAATTAAAACGTCAAATAAAATAAAAACAAAAATACAATTCCTCAACAGGATAACAGTTTATAATCAGTGAAACAGTTGAATTACCACAACTGAAATGGTTCACTAGGACACCCAATTACAAAAATACATAGGTTGTAAAATAGTTACCATCCTGGCACTTTAAAAAAAAAATGTATGTCACCTGCTGCCCTTCATGCCAGAGACTGAGATTGTCTTAGATTGGTAAATGAGAGTGTTGCTTCCATTTGGCAAACCTGGAAAAAACAAACAAAACAAACAACAACAAAAAACCCAAGTGCTATCTAATGAATATGGCAAGCTGCCATGATCAGATTATGTGTTGGAAGGACTCTCGGCTACTACTATGTTTTTTTTAGCACATCTATTAAATTAACTGAGTTACAGTATATATATATATATATATATATATATATATATGTTTTTGTATTGACTTATTAACAGCCACCTGGAATTGTACAACTGCCAAAACATGCATGTTGTAGATACTGTATAATATGTCTGATTATTACTTTCTGTAAGTTTCATTAAAATGGGTCCAGTGGTTCACGAGATATTTTGCTAACAGACACACCGGATCAACTCTAACAGTTACCACTGGAGTTTTAAGCAACTATTTTCCATATTGAATAGCAATCAGAGTATGTATTCTAGCAGGTTTTTCATCTACAACCACCGTAAATCATTTCACAACACATTTTTTACTAAAAAAAATAGAAGTCCATTAAATTGTATCTATAAAATATTACTTACATATAGGTAATTCTGTCATAGTATGAGGGTGATGTGGTTGAACCCAAATCTAGAATAAGTATGCAGCAGGTGGGCGTATTATGGAGTTCAAAAAGTATACTTTATAAAAACTTAACTAAAATGAAACAAACCTAACTGGACTAACATTTCTAACTCCAGGGCAATCTAGACAACAGAATGACAAGAATTTGACGAGGGACTTTACATGCAGAGACAATATGATGACAAAGTTAGGGAAGATGTCTTGCCTGGCAAATTAAAATCAGGACAAAAGGAAGAAAAAACAAGCTTACTAAAAAGGGAAGGAACATGCTGAGGTTATGAAAGCAAACGTAACCAAGATGGCAAGAAAAAAAAACACAGAACCTTCCAAACAGAAGACAAAAGCCCACAAACTCCAACAAATGTATTTTGTATTGATATATTTGGTGTATGAAGACTGTATAACCAACAGTAGAATCTGAAGAAGATAATAAAACTCTTACAGACAACCTTTTTAAGGTCACTAGACTAGTCTGTCTTCTTTGTGGATTAGAGTCAACAAGGCATTGGGAACATTTCTCAGAGACTTTGGTTTGTGTTACCCCGATAGCATCATGAAATTGATGCAGACTGGTCAGCTGCATATCCTTGATTCGAACCTCTTATTCCACCACATCCCAGTGGTGACCAGTTTGATTGAGATCTGGTGACTGTGAAGGTTGTTGGAGTCCAGTTAATCTATGATCTTCAGACCAAGCAATGTTTTTTCCAATCTCTTAACTTCAGGTTATTGTTCTTAGCTGACAGAAGTAGCACCAAGTGCAGTCTCCTGCTGCTGGAGCACATCTGCTTTAAGGTTGGATGTGTAGTGTATTCAGACATGGTATTTTACAGACCTTGGTTGGAACAAGTGGTTATTTGAGGTACTGTTGTTTTTCTAACTCATCATACCAGGCGGGCGGCATGGTGGCACAGTTGGTAGAGCTGCTGCCTCTCAACGAGCAGGTTCAAATCCTGGCTGGGGTCCTTTCTGAATGGAGTTTGCATGTTCTCTCCATACATGCATGGGTTTTCTCTGGGTACTCCAGTTTGCTCCCACAGACCAAAAACATGCATGTTAGTCTAATTGGTAACTCTAAATTGTCCCTAGGTGTGAGTGAATGGTTGTTTGCCTCATTAGTCTCTATATGGCCCTGTGATGGACTTGTGACCTGTCCAGGGTGTCCCCTGCCTTTTTCACAGTGATGGCTGGGTATGGGCACCAGTGACCCCCGTGAACCGAAAAAGGAAGAAGTGGGTAATGATGGATGGATGCATCAATCATATCAGGCTGCCTATTTTCCTCTGATTTCAATAAGACATTTTTGTCCACACATCTGCCATTCACAGATATTTTCTTGTTTTTTAGACCATTTGCCTTAAACCTAAGAGATGGTCATTGTCATTTTCACTATATTTCGCTTGTCTGGATCCAGTCCACAGGGCCAAATGCCTTATCAATTAATCCAAGACGTCTTCTTTCTCAGCCACTTCTACCAGCATTCCAGAGGACCCCATGGCATCCCAGGCCCAGTTGAGAGAATTATCCCTCCAGCATGTCTTGGGTCAACCCCACCTCTACAGGGAGACATCCAGCATCCCAGAAAGATATCCAAACCGCTTGGGGTGGCTCTTCTTAATAAGTAGAAACATCACATTTACTATTAGCCCCTCATGTTTGCTCATGCTTCTCATCCTATCTCTATGGCTGAGCCTGGCCACACTGTGGAGAAGGCTCAATTCAGCCGCCTGTATTTGTGGTTTACTTCTCTCTTTCCTCAACCAAAGATCATGACCACAGATGAGGATTGGAACACAGATCAACCATTAAAAATGAGGATCATCTTCTTAGTTTAGCTCCTTCTTTACCCCACCTGATCAATGTATCACTTGCATCACTGCAGATGCTGCCTCATATGACATGCCAATCTCCCACTCCCTCAACCTTGAACGAGATCCTGAGATATGTAAACTCCTTTACTTGAGGCAAAACATCTCCCAATGGAATGGTCGGTCCACCTTTTTCCAGTTGAAAAACCTGGGTGTAAAAATCTCTAAATACATTGAGTTCTTGCCGTGCAACTGGCTGATCAACTATTCGAGTTGTAGCACAATAGAAGTTTACCTAATAAAGTGATAGGAGAGTGTACATTATGGTTTCCAGTGATATTGTGGTCCTGTGTTTATAACTTGTTTTTTGCTGATTGCATCTGCACTCTGAAATGTTCTTTTTGCTTAGTATCCATCTTTGCTCCCTGGCTTGGCATCTGCGAGGTCTTCAGTGGGTCCCTGTCTCCTGGCACTCCTTTCAGATCAGCCACAGATCCGCTCCTCTGCAAAGTGTCTGACAGTGAAACATGCAGGCGTTATGATTAGAACAGGCTCCCACTGTTGCTGAGTGGACGATCCACCCACACATCACAGCAACAGTGCATTTTTCTTTGACAGTCCGAACAAAGATAACAAACGTATTGCAAAGTGAACTTGAACAAACTGCCTCACGTTTTTCTGCACCTTTAATTATGTCCCAGATTAGTGTTCACAGTTTTGCAGAATAGAAAGACAGGGCTGCAATCTTGTTCAAGAACATCACAAAAAAACTGCCATCTAATTAATTAACTCAGCTAATTACGTTCAAAGGAAAATTGTTTGACTATTAAACGCCCTATCGCTGTTATTTGCACACACCAAAGAGCAAAAACAGTCTTGCAAAGAAAAATCATTAGCTTTTTTTACTGTTTTTTATTTATTTTTATTTTTTTTATTTTCTTTTGACAAAGCAAAAAGGATCTTGGTGGAGTTTTTTTTTGTTTTTCCCCAAGCCAACAAAAGCCATGTTCACTGCATAATAAGTGCAAAAATACAATTGTATGATTGCAGTTGATGCCAGAGGAAATTGGTTTGAGTGCAAGAAAGCTGACAAATGAGTTGACTCATTCTGAGAAATTCTCCTGGGTGCTCGTTGAAAACAACAGCAAATGTCAGGGCAACAGGTGACTTTTTTTTTTTTTGTTCACCTTCTCTTTCTTGCACTCATAACAACGTTTATAGAGTTTTTGTGATGTTATTTTTAT